GTTACCGCTTGTGAGATAGTTGACACATGCACATACTGACCAGTGTCCACAAAAGTCCTTCAAAGTTGGCTTTGGCCTCTTGGTAGCGTCTCAGGGGTGCGTTTCCCGTACAACGACGTAGTTCACTGCTTCACTACCATAGTACGGTGCATCGTTGGAAAAATCAACTAGCTAGTCACGACTGTTTCCCGAAACCCACTGTCGCAAAGTATCGTTCAACCACGTTGGTTTCGCACGTTGAGTAATGACTACTTTTAATGAAACTGTTTGAGATCCAATTAACGCTAGATTTGTTTTATATAAATTACAGACATGTCATCTGAGGACTATTTCTAATTGTTCTCAGTTGTTCTGCTTTATTAGCAGACTCAATATTTGACTTGTAGAGCACGTTCGCACATGCGCACTCTTCAAACACGTTACTTCAAATCTCTTGACAAACTAAAAGAAGTAAATTACATTTGTCTGTATTCTAAATAAAAGGCACCAGTTGTACTGAATGCCAGCTTGCTCATTATGCTCAAGATAAGGATTTATTACCTCCAAATGTCGTGAAATATAGAAACGATGCCTGTAACCACAGGTCGAGAGCTGTCTTTCAAACCACACAACTTTGCGATGCTGTTTTCGAATGTTCGTTGGAACGATGGTTTCGGGAAACACCGAATCGTTGAACTATGCTGATAACGACTGAACTTGCGACCATAGTTGGCTAACGATGCTTTCCGGAAACGCACCCCGGAACAGCACTCAGAGATAAAGCCTTCGAAATGTTGTACACTTTCCCGGCTTCAAGAAACAGGCGCCCAAAACGCCGTTAACGAACGGCCAAAACGCATAAAAAGCTTTACGTTTTTACCGTTAAAAACAATGCCGTGTAAACAGCCCCTAAGCCCTTATACTTAGACTATAACATACTTTACCAAACTAGGTATTTCACTAATTCATTTGTAATAATCCTACAGAATGTTTTAAAATGCTATTTTACTTTCATTATGAGGGTTATAATGTGTACAAACAACTCAGAAAAGTTGGACATAATTTATTTTATTTTTGTACAGATTTTCACAAGATATGATGACTTTCCACAGGCCCTGAGTGCGGTGTGACCCTAACCTATATCTCCACAGTGAAAGGACATGGATTCATCCTCATAAACGGCTGTCGAGATACGCCTCAGTTTAACAAGCAGATAACAATCATCAAAACACAAACCTTTAAAAGCTGTTAATGAAGTAGAGACATATTTGATCACCACAAAAGGGAGTAAAATAAAGACGTTTTAAGAGAAAATAGCACGTCATCATTAAAGCCCTGGTTAGAGAGTGGGAGACAGAAAGAGTGAGGAGAGAGATTGTATGTTCATGTGTGTGTGTGTGTGTGTGTGTGTGAGAGAGTGAGAAAAAGCCTTGTGAACTCAGCTATGCACAGCATAAACACAGGAAACCACACAGATGCCGACATCTGTAGGCTTTTAGAGAAAAGATTTTAGTACGTTAACTCTTTAACCGCCACAGGAGAAAACAGCTCCCAAGGAAACCCAGTCAACAAATTGTGTAAATTTAGCTGAAAATAAAGAAATAATAATGAAAATATAAGTCAGAAATTAAGTTTCTCAAAGATTAAAAGAAAGAAGCCTAAAAAAAAGCCCATAAAAGTAATCCATACGACTCCAGGGGGTTAACAAAGGCCTTCTGAACAGAAGCAATGCGTTCGTTTAAGAAAAATATCCCTATTTATAACTTTATAAACTATAATAACAAAGCTTTGTGTTCGAATGAAATAAGAAAGTCATGTACACCTACAGTATAGGTGAGTAAATAATGGGATCATTTTATTTTTTGGGTGAACTAACCCTTCAACATTTCATTTGAACTATCCCTTTTTGTCTCACACAGTAGAAAATACATAAATACAAGTACGATATTTAAGCTCATATTTCTTCTTTCTCTCTAGCCTTTACTGTCCTGCAAAAACATTCACCCAAATGGGTAAAATTGAAATGCAGTTTTTGTGAAGTGTGGACTGTGAAAACGAGTTATTTGAAAACGATTAGACATTGTTTAGTCATGTGACGCAAACTGAACCCATAATTTCTATGTTTACTGTATACCCAGTATTGTGCCTGTTGGCATGTGCTAATGTTACTTTATGTTACTTTACACAGACATATGGTGACTGAGTGCGACCCGGACGCGTCAGTGAATGGTGAGATATGCTGCTAAATAAAATGATCCTGCCAAATGAATAGCATGGGAACTTTATTAACTTTATACAATTTACTTTAATTAATGGTTATTTATTATGTTTTGTCTGTATCGTCGCAGTGAGCTTTTATGGGGGTTTACGCATGCACAGTACGGTCAATTTAATTTTAAATGAGTTTATTAAATGAGTTAATAAACTGAGAGAAACTTTTGGAAAACTCTTGAAAATGCAAGTGTGGACGGAGAGCGTTTTCAAATGAAAAGGCCGTTTTCAAATGTATCCGGTTTAATGTAGACATAGCCTTAGGCTAATAGAAAAATATTCTAAAAAGTGCATGTGCAACATTAGTACAACATTTATAGTCATCAAGAAAAGTTGCGCTGGTCTCCTATTGTGCGGCATATAAACGCTTCTGGAAACAAAAACAAATGTGGGTGGGGCTTGATGTCATCCATGGGGATGTGATTGGATTGTTAAATTGTTGTGGTTTGCTATTGGTGGATCTGGTGTGATTGACAGGTTGCCCCGCCCTCATCCTCAGAGAAGAGAAGAGATGCTGCAAGAGGAACTTATTCTGATGCAAGATTATTATGAGACACATGACTTTAAAACAATAATGATATGCACAGATAAATCATTTAGAGTACTGCAATATTTCCGAAAAAAAAAATCATTGTCTATTTAGATTTCATTGTGCATGGGGTCATTTGCTGTAAATTAAAGCTACTATATGTAATTATTTTCACCATTAGGGGTCACTAACCTCTTACAATAACAAAAGCGTAGGTTTATGACGCAGTGAATAAGCGGAATCAGGGAACTTGTCGTCAAGCTGATGGATCTAATACTGTTTCTGGATGAGTGAATACATTAAAGTTTTTGACATGACTGTGGTGTGAAGTATAAGAGACAGATATCAGCGCCACACACAAATGCTGTGGATATAAAGGAATAACATTTCATTCTACTGAACAAACAAACTTACTAACGTTACCCACAAGTGTTAGGTCAGTTTGTTAGACGAATTAAGCTTTTGAGGGAAACAAAAACGCCACGCTGATGTTGATCCTCGTTTTAGTTCTCCTTTTGTCCTAAAGTCTGCTTGCCATGGTCCATAATGTTTGAATGAAACAACAACAGCGTGAGTGTGCCACTAGATGTAACGCAATCGTCCATGTATGTCGCTATGGTTACTATGGCAGAACAAGGCAGATATTACGTCATTGGCAGGCGACAAGTGAACATGGACCAGACAATAGAGTGCCGAAGTGATGACGTCACTTTGTAGGACAACTCGGAAGCTAGCGGCGCATGGGTTCCCTCGGTCGAAAAGCAATGCATTTTCCCCATAGACTTTTGGAAAATCGCAAAAAATAAGATCTGTGTTTAACAAAGGGTTGTGACCCTTACACGTTTTGTCTAGCAAGATAATCTTTACAAGTTAATCCAAAATTTATAAATTTTGAAGCCTAAGATTTTAAAATACACAATTAGACACAATAAAGTTTAAAAAAACCACAAGCAGGTTATAACTGTCAAACTGTGTGTTCAAAACGTGGAAATAGAGGCTTTGTTCACCACAGACCTTATTTCAGGCGATTTAGCAAAAACCCATTCAAAACACCCATAGGCTTTAGAGCGAGGGAACCGTAATGCTAAAATGCTAACTCACTTCCGCGTTTTGGTCTACAGAGTGACGTCATAACTTCGGCACTCTATTGTATAAAAATCTTTGGGAATTTTTAGAATATTTTAAGTACACAATTGCAGGAATATATCTTTGGATATTTTATTACAAAAATCTTACATATTAGCTTTACAAATTAGTTGTTTGACCCAAATAGTGGCGTGTAATTGATGTCATCAAAATCTGTCTGCACTGTCTCTCGGCCGCAGACGTCACGCCCACACTCCGCGCACTCAACGTGTTGAAAGTCTGGCTGAGCGAGAATAATAATGTCTATATTATATCGTGCATCCTCTTTAATAAAAGATGCACACATTGAGAGATTGTAATGACAGCAGCTGTGGATGTTTAAACACCCTTCACTTGTATCCTACAGAAATATTTACATCCAAGAAATGATCGTGTTGGTGTTGTTTTGGTGTAACATGCTGTGTTTTCTAGTTGTTGTTTTTTCAATCCCACGCAAATTATTAAAATTCTCTCTCTCTCTCTCGCTTTCTCTCTCTCTCTCTCTCTCTCTCTCTCTCTGTCAGAGTGCGTCATCTGGAAAGGCGTCACGTGGGAGTACAAAGCCAACGCTCGCGCTCTGCCCCTTACAAACGACTCGCGCCTCGGTCTCGAAACCGCGCTTCTGAGGAAATACTTAACAAAGGACACTAGCGTTTATTCATTACTAACATAGTGCAAACAAAAATGAGTGACTTTTATCGACACAAACTCGTCTATTTGCTAGGATTATTCAAACATCTGAGTGAAATCACGGATATCACGCTCGCCTTTGAATTGTTTATTGTGGATTTATAGACGAGGAAAGACGTTCGACTTGGGAGCTGAAAGGAAGTAGAGAAAGAAAGACGGAACTTATTTCGTTTTGAGATATTCTTATTCAGACCTCACGTTTTTTTCCTTAAGAATCGTGAAGTTTGTCTCGAGCGCGCGTATCCAGCAGCTGGCGCGCGCTGCGCTGAGATGGAGAGGACGCGCGCGCTCAGATGGAAGTTTTCTCTCCAAACATCCAAACACAGAGAATCCGATGGACTGAATAATGAAACTACAAAAAAACAGCTTTTAAAGCAAAGTATTAGTTAAATGATCCTCTTCGGTGGAGTGGAAATATGGTGGTGATGATCGTGAGATCTACCTGTGCGTAATGGACACATAACATCAGGAGGAGGATCTCAGCAAGCACACAGGTGTGTATTATTGGTCAGTAAACACCAGTGTCATGGTTTATCTCTGAATCGTAAATCAGTACACATATATGGATCTGGTGGTCGTTTGGGCTCGTTTTTATGAATGTTTTATGGATGTAATGTTACGCTTAGACTTCAAATGTAGCCTATTTATTCACGTCCTACTAGTATTTTTCTGTAATTACATTTGAGTAGTTCTGTTGTGCATGATGCGATAAAGGAAATGTTCAGCAGATTTGTTAAATTTTAGTATCTATCCATCAGACAGATGAGCAGATGAATACAAGACCAGTATTGGAGAGCAAATGTATGATCGATATGAACATTGGGCTGCCACACACACACACGCACACACACTCTCTTTCTCTCACAGCCACTGATCTGTTTATGAACAACAGATGATCGTGGGTAGTCATGCATACATAAATCTAGGCCACATCTAGACAATCTCTCAATATATTCTTGATTTTAACTCAAAACAAGATAATATAAGAAAAAAATATATACATTTACAGTATAATTATACATTACACACATGTATGAATAGGGCACATTTAGCTTACATATTAAAATTTTTTGCTTACACACTATAAGTGGTACTTGAAGCTCACTCAGTGAAACCATTCACTAATATATCTAATCTTCAGAAGTCTGCAAAAACTACAAGCGCATTATATCCTTTACACAAATTGGCAAAAAATGCTCCACACAGTTCTCTACAGATCATTCAAAACTAACAGCTCTTGTGTTTCATTTAGAAAACACTGCCAACTAAATTCCATAATCATTTCCCGTTTGCCTAGATCTTGTGTTAAACGCTTACATAAATTGGGCACTTAAGATGTTAGAATAATGAGTAGAAGAAAGATGCAAATGAAAGAAAGAGAGACAAAAGAGAAAGGGGGGGGGGGGGGTCTTACACTTTTCAGGTATGTAATCAAATGTAAAAATCAAATGTAAAATAGCACTCACTGGAATGGATGATGGCAATGACCAAAAAAATCTAATCTCTGTATATTTTGGTTGAATGGCGATATACGGTATATATCTCTGTATTTTCTACGGTTTTTACTTGAATAAAAACTGTATTTAATATATTATATATATATATATATATATATATATATATATATATATATTTCACAATCTGCCTAATGTTGTCCTACAAACAATGTTCATATTGAAAGCTATGGAAAAAAAAAAACAAGTGAATATACTGTCGGTTCCGGTATGCATTATGTGCAAATAAAGGGTTACAATCGCATTATATTCTAACACATTAAAATATAAAAAACAAAAATAAAGATTTTATTTTTAAATTCACTAAACTAAAAATGAAAATAAATAACAAACAAAAGCACGGACTAATTAACCTACATTTTATTACCCTATAAAACTCGGTAAAACTCCTAAGCGGTGAGCAGCCGGTAACAAGAAGTAGACGAATGAGAACGTCCTCGTCTCAGTTCTCGCGCATGCGCCCATAAGGAAGTAATGGAATAGTGGAATAAAGCCGTTATTTATGTTTTTTTTTTTGCACAAAAAGTAGTCTCGTCGCTTGATAAACTTATAATTGAGCCGCTGTAGGCACATGGAACATTTAAACCTTTTCTTTAATGACTTTATGGGCCGTCAAGAGCCAGTCCCTTAGGCAGTCTATGAAGGACTGATCCAGCTCTCAGATTCAATCAAAAATATCTTTATTTGTGTTCGGAAGATGAACGAAGGTCTTACGGGGTTGGAACAGCATGGGGGTGAGTAATTAATGACTTAATTTTCATTTTTGGGTGAACTAACCCTTTAAGCTCCTTATTATGTAGCTGAATCTGTGCTGGTTTGTATTGGCCGCCTCCAGTTTTCACTTTGTTTTGCCTCCAGGTAGCGCCGTGACGTAACTGTGACGTCGGCGCAAAAGGGGTCTATACGAGAAAGAGACCGTGCAATCTCTTCTTCAAACGGAGTTTGAAAAAACCACTGTGGGCGGGGGGTTAGTGGTCAGCGTTTCGAGGCCGCAAAGGCCGGTCTGATAAAACGGAGCGTAGCCTATTTGCCTATTTGTTCTTAGCAAAAACACGCCCGTCATGGAACAGCTACCGTGGCGTAGTTAGTAGAGCGCATAGTTTGAACATCGGATCTGCTATGTGTCTGTTTATTTGTTGTGAGGTGTTTAGTGTGGAATTACTTAATTCTTTGTATTGAATAACAATATGATGTGAAAAATATTCTTGTTACTTTTGATTAAAAAAAAAAAAAAGTGGAGCGTGTAGTTTGTGAAAGCGCTTTTGAAGCGCTCGGCCCCGAGTTCGAATCCGCCTTTTGCCGAACATATGAGATGTAAAATGTATAAACTAACATAAAGGTCTCTAGCGTTATATTTTGCCTATGAACTAAAATTGAAACCATGATATGTTTTTTTTACCTTCATAAAACAGCACAAGACTGAATAGGCATCCTATGTTTGCTGGGTGATTTAGAGAAACGTGTGCACTTTGCTCACACAGTCATCATGGTCATCTGGTGTTTTCTCCTAAATACAAGCTCAAGGGTTTATTTCTTGCAAGTATAGAAATAAAGACAAAAGTATTTTAATTTTCCTATATTATAGTGTAATGTAGACTAAAATATACTTTTGAAATATTCATTTTCATTTATATATACCTACATTTATAGGTTCTATGGATTTTACGTCATAGGAATAATTATATAAATCATTCTTACATTATTATAATAATTGTTTGGCATCCTAAAACACCATTGATAATGCAATGCAGACTGAGACTCTCATAATTAAAAAGATGTTTGAGCCCTCTTTATTGTCCTGGTACAAATCAATGCTTTATCTTTGTTTAACGAGCAGTTCATGGGTTGAAGCTTTTAATTTTGATCTCGCAAAGATCACGAGACTGATGCATTTAACCTTAAAATGTTTTAAAAAAATATTGCGGGGGAGAGTTCAGTAAAAGTCAGTAAAACATAAGATTATCTTTTAAAATGCACAATCGCTCTACACTGTAAAAAAAATATTGATTGTTTAACTTAAAAAAGTAAGTAACCTGGTTGCCTTAAAATTTTAAGTTCATTGAACTGGAAAAAGTGAGTTAATACAATGAAGGAGAATAATTTAATCATCAGACACTCAAAATTATATGTTATCTGAACTAAATAAATTATTTAAGTTGATTTGACAAAAGAAAAAATGTTGTGATTACTACACTGTAAAAAAATATTGTTGGTTTAACTTAAAAAAGTAAGTAACCTGGGTTGCCTTAAAATGTTAAGTTCATTGAACTGGAAAAAGTGAGTTAATACAATGAAGGAGAATAATTTAATCATCAGAAACTCAAAATTATATGTTATCAGAACTAAATAAATTATTTAAGTTGATTTGACAAAAGAAAAAATGTGGTGATTACTACACTGTAAAAAAATATTGTCGGTTTAACTTAAAAAAGTAAGTAACCTGGGTTGCCTTAAAATTTTAAGTTGATTGAACTGGAAAAGGTGAGTTAATACAATGAAGGAGATTCATTTAACCACCAGAAACTCAAAATAATAAGTTATCTCAACTAAATAAATTGTTATAAAGTTGATTTGACAAAAGAAAATATGTTGTGATAACAAATCTTGAAAACATTTGTTTACAGTGAGATTAGACGATATTTAAACTAATTTGTGGTAAAATTATATTGTTGTATTCCCTATTATAATTTATTGTCATGCGTTTGCACTTTTTCTATCTGGACACGGAGCACAAACATTTAAATAATAAACAACTTGTTCATTATCATTACCTGTTAATCTATTGATTTATACACGGCAGTTCAATTATTATTGTATTTTAGACTATTGGTATTAAGTGGCAAGGAGCATGGCCTAAGGCTTAAAATGCACCAGAATGCAGGAAATCACATCTACGAAATTCAAAATTTGATGGGGGAGGACCCCCACAACACACAGCCCCACCTACAATATTTTTCACCAGCCGCCACTGCATACTGTATACACAGTATATTTGTGCTCTTGTACGTGTATATGTGTGACAAACTCATTTACACTGCACACGAACAAGCACAACACAATGTTTAAAATAGTTGTTTGAATGAAGTGTTTGCTGTTGCAACGCATGTCGTGTTCAAGTTTTGTGGTTTTGTGTGTAGTTTCTAGAAATGGGGCCATAGTTTAAGAAATTGTGTATAAGCAATTAAAAAAAAAAACAGTAAAGATGCAATTTGTAGAATTCTGAAATGTCCAGGTAGGCCTGTCACAAAAACAAATTTTGCTGCAGGATAAATTGTCCAAGAAATTATTGCGATAAACGATAATCTAAAATCTAAAATAATGATTAGGTCAATAAACTTTTATTTCTAAAGACTATTTAACACTGAAAACATTTTAAATATCCACAATAAATGAACAAAACAACCAAGAACAATAAAAGCAATGGACTCTCAGTCTCTGTTAACAAAAAAATGCACTTGAATAAATACCAAAACCAATACATAAAATGGATGCAAACAAAACCCGACCCTACGATAAATTATTTGTTATTAACACACACACACACACACAAAAAAAGTTAATTTAACATAAAAGCACACAGGCTATTGCATGCATGGTCTGGCATGACCCTTAATAATTCCTAAAAAGCTGACAGTTCATCGCGATCTCTCATATCTCTGTTATTATCAATATAGCTGACTGCACTATCTTTCATAATATCCATAATTAGAGGGTTTGTGTTGGAGTCCCGGCCCGAGGATAGTGTCAGGGTCGAGTCGGGTCAACTCGGGCAGAGAATAAACTCTAGTTTAATCCTCCTTGGCTATAAGGAATCGAGAGTTGTCATCCGGTCTCTTTGGTAGAGAGAGAAAGAGAGAGAGATGCAAGGAAAACAAATAAGCATGTGAATGGAAATTATGGCGGCCGGAAAAATGATCAGGCTTGTTTTTGTTTTTTTATCGAGGGATTAATTGATTTATTGACTATCGCAACAGGATGCA